GGGATAGACCGCACGCTGCACCGCATCTAGCGCCATCCGCACCGCGCGGGGAGATCATCGGCTACGTGCCGCGTGGGGCGCGCGATTTCGGCAGCGCGGAGATGGTGCGCGACCTGGTGGCGGGGGGGGAGTCCGTGCTGCTCATGGGCGCGCCGGGCGTGGGGAAGACCACCGCTATCAGGTAATGGGGGAGAGGGGGGATGTTGAAAAGGGAGGCGGGGAGGGAGTTTGTGCTGCTCATGGGCGCACAGGGCGTGGGAAGACCACGGCCATTAGGTAACGGGGAGAGCACGGCTATGAGGTCTGGGAAGAGCACCCGTGACCCATGACCCTCACCTTACATCCCATACCTCTCCCTGCTCCATACCCCTCGTGCAGGGAGGTGGCGCGAATACTAGCGGACGAGTGCGCACGGAGGGTAGTGGTGGTGGATACGAGCAACGAGATCGCAGGCGATGGGGACATTGCCCATGCCGCCATTGGATCAGCACGGCGCATGCAAGTGCCGCATGTGGAGCTGCAGCACCAGGTGGGTGAGAGTGTGAGTAACAGCATGGGCAGTGGAGAACCCTGTTTGTGCCACATGCTCGGCAGTGGAGATCGCAGGTGATGGAGACATCACCCATGCTGCCATCCGCTCTCGGTGCTGCAAGTGCCGCATGTGGAGCTGCAGCACCACCAAATGGGCTGGGCGGCAACACCAGGTGGACGGTGGACTGGGCGGCAGCATTAGATGGTTGAGGGGGTGGCACGGCAGCACCCAGGCGCGTGAGTGTGTGTGGCAGCAGGGTTGGTGGAGAACCAACCACGTGCCACGTGCTCTGCTCTTTTCTCTCTGCGACAACCCCCCCTCACGCCTCACCTTTCCCCCCACCAACCCCCTCCCTGCATCAGGTGATGATAGAGGCGGTGGAGAATCACATCACATGCCACAGGTGGTGATTTTTAATGAGATCAGGCCGGAGCTGGGAAAGTGTCTGTGCGGTGAATCACTTGTGTGCCCACATCCCTCCAACTTTTGCCTCCCACCCCACCCCCTCTTACCCTGCACCCCCGTTGTACACCAGGTGATGATAGAGGCGGTGGAGAATCACATGCCACAGGTGGTGATAATCGATGAGATCGGGTCGGAGCTGGAGGCGGCAGCAGCGGCCACGATAGCGCAGCGGGGCGTGCAGCTCATTGCCACGGCTCATGGTCGCTCTGTGGAGAACCTGGTCAAGAACCCGCACCTGCACACACTGGCAGGGGGCGTGCAGGTGGGTGCAGAGGGGTGCAGGTGGGTGGGTGCAGTGGGGGGGGGGGTAATAGATGGGGGAACAGCAGAGGCGTGCAGGGGGGGATGGGGGGGGCAGCAACGGCGGCCCCATAGCGCAGCGGGGCGAGCAGCTCGTTGCCATGGCTCACGCCGTGCTGTTCTATTAAGAACCTGGTCAAGGACCCGCACTTGCATGCACTGGCAGGGGGTGTGCATGTACGAAAGGGGTATAGATGGGGGTGCAGAGGATAGGCACCTTGGAAACTGCACTGTGGAGAACCTTGTCAAGAGCCCTCACCTGCACACAACTCGCAGGGGGCGTGCAGGTGGGTGCAGAGGGGTGCAGGTGGAGAACCGGCACCTGCCCTAGCTGACAGGGGGCGTGTGGGTGGGTGGAGAGGGGTGCAAGTAGTGCAACAGAGGTCCTTCTCTCACTCCCTCACCTACACTCCCCCTCCCGATCCTTTCCCTCTCTCCTGCGTGCAGACAGTGACGCTGGGAGACGAGGAGGCGAGGAGGAGGGGAGTGCAGAAGAGTGTGATGGAGAGGGGAGGGCCCGCCCGTGTTCCAAGCGGCTGTGGAGATGCACTCCCGGGGGCGATGGTCTGTGCACCGCAACCTTGCTGCCACTGTGGATGCGCTGCTCTCAGGTGATTCATCCTTGTAGAGACAAATCGTTTCAAAGGTTGTTCCAAGCAGCAGGTGAGATGCACATGGCCGCTGGACCGTGCACCGCTGCCTTGCTGCCATTGTTGACGCTCTGCTCTCAGGTGATTCGCCGCTGCTCTCAGGTGATTCGCCGCTGCTCTCAGGTGATTCACTGATCATTTGAAATGGCCTATTGTCCTTGGGGACAAGGGGGGAAATGATTCTGACTCAGCCCCGGGCCTTGGAGTGGGTACGGACTCGCACATCCCTCCTCAAACTGATCCTATCAAGCCATCTGTCTCACAACCCTCACTTTCGGCCTCCCTTCTCCCATCCTCTCCTTCCCTCCCGTGTGCTCGCCACGCCACTGCCCCCATGGTTTCCTCACAGGCAAGGCACCGCAGGTGGAGGTACGGGAGATGGGGCAGCACGGGGAGGTGTGGGTGGATGGCGATGCTGTTAGCACCGGCAGAGGCGGCAGCAGCAGCAGTGGCGGTATCCCTGTCGGTGGCCGCAGCAGCAACGGCGACAGCGGTATCTCGCGAGCCGGTTCGTGGGACGAGCAGGGGTGGCAGAGTCTAGGAAGCGAGGGAGCAGTGGGAGCGATGGGTGTGAGGGAGTGGGATGCAGCGCAGCCCAGGGAGGGCGGTGGCAGGCAAAGAGAGAGAGGCAGTCCCGCACGGCCCTCCCATGCACCATCACCCTCTGCCTCTCCCTCCTCCTCTCCCTCTGCCTCTCCCTCCGCCACTCCCTTGGGCTTTGCTTCTACGGTGGCAGCAGCGGGGAGAGCAGCGGCAGCGACACAGACAGTGAGGGCAGCGACGTTGATGTTATGGCGATGGTGCTGCTAGTGATACTGATGGTGATGGTGGTGGTGGTGAGCAGTGGGGAGGTCTGCCATGTGGTGGGGCGGCATGGCCAGCAGATCAACCAGCACAGGTGCCGGCACAACTAGCAGCTCTGCATCCATCTCCGCATCATCAGCATCAGCATCAGCATCAGCATCAGCATCCTGGTCTCAAGGGGGGGCGCCTGCTGGCCTCTCGGCGTTCGCCCAGGCCACGCGTTCCGACAACTCAACCCTGCTCTTCCTCTACCAGGTGTGGGCCTGTTGTGTGCGCATCACCAGCACCATCACCTCACACCAGCACCATCACCTCACACCAGCACCATCAGCATCAGCATCGGCATCAGCATCCGCATCCGCATCAGCATCAGCATCCGCATCAGCTTCAGCATCAGCATCAGCATATCAGCATCAGCATCAGCATCAGCATCAGCGCATCAGCATCACGCATCAGCAGCAGCAGCAGCAGCAGCAGCAGCAGCAGCAGCAGCAGCAGCAGCAGCAGCAGCAGCAGCAGCAGCAGCAGCAGCAGCAGCAAGCAGCAGCAGCAGCAGCAGCAGCAGCAGCAGCAGCAGCAGCAGCAGCAGCAGCAGCAGCAGCAGCAGCAGCAGCAGCAGCAGCAGCAGCAGCAGCAGCAGCAGCAGCAGCAGCAGCAGCAGCAGCAGCAGCAGCAGCAGCAGCAGCAGCAGCAGCAGCAGCAGCAGCAGCAGCAGCAGCAGCAGCAGCAGCAGCAGCAGCAGCAGCAGCAGCAGCAGCAGCAGCAGCAGCAGCAGCAGCAGCAGCAGCAGCAGCAGCAGCAGCAGCAGCAGCAGCAGCAGCAGCAGCAGCAGCAGCAGCAGCAGCAGCAGCAGCAGCAGCAGCAGCAGCAGCAGCAGCAGCAGCAGCAGCAGCAGCAGCAGCAGCAGCATCAGCATCAGCATCAGCATCAGCATCAGCATCAGCAGCAGCATCAGCATCCAGCATCAGCATCAGCGCATCAGCATCAGCATCAGCGTCAGCATCAGCATCAGCATCAGCATCAGCGCATTAGCATCAGCGCATAAGCATCAGCATCAGCATCAGCATCAGCGCATAAGCATCAGCATCAGCATCAGCGCATCAGCATCAGCATCAGCATCAGCGCATCAGCATCAGCGCATCAGCATCAGCGTCAGCATCAGCACATCAGCATCAGCACATCAGCATCAGCATCGGCGCATCAGCATCAGCGCATAAGCATCAGCATCAGCATCAGCATCAGCGCATAAGCATCAGCATCAGCATCAGCGCATCAGCATCAGCATCAGCATCAGCGCATCAGCATCAGCGCATCAGCATCAGCGTCAGCATCAGCACATCAGCATCAGCACATCAGCATCAGCACATCAGCATCAGCATCAGCATCAGCATCAGCGCATCAGCATCAGCGCATCAGCATCAGCATCAGCGCATCAGCATCAGCGTCAGCATCAGCACATCAGCATCAGCGCATCAGCATCAGCGCATCAGCATCAGCATCAGCACATCAGCATCAGCATCAGCATCAGCATCAGCATCAGTATCAGCATCAGCATCAGCATCAGCGAATCAGCATCCGCGCATCAGCATCCGCATCAGCGCATCAGCATCAGCATCAGCATCAGCGCATCAGCATTAGCATCAGCATCAGCATCAGCATCAGCATCACCATCACCATCACCATCACCATCATCATCACCATCACCATCACCATCACCATCACCATCCTGGTCTCAAGGCAATGCGCCTCTGGCCTTTCAGCGTTCTCCCAGGCCACTCGTTCCGACATCTCAACCCTGCTCTTCCTCTACCAGATGTGCCGTGGGCGGATGCTGGACGCCTGTGCTGTTTGCGTGTGAGAGCACTCAAACTCTGCCAGGTTGGGGCGTGTTGTGTGTGCATTTGCTGCATGCCTGTGCTGGGTCCGACCATCTTTAACTCCACCATTCATTGTCAATTCCCCTGTGAGCAGGTATCGGAGGAGCATGTGGAGCAGGTGGTGGAGGCTGGCATCCCTCTTGGCGGCACTGACTGCCACTATGTCTGATTGGGATCAAATCCTGCTTGGCTGTTGCTCCCCTGCGCGCAGGTATCGGAGGAGCACGTGGAGCAGGTGGTGGAGGTGATGGGGTTGGCACCACTCATCTCCCTCACCACGGACATTGCAGCAGCAGACGCCGTGCTGGCACTGCGCTCCAAGCTCAAGGGCAACGCGTGGCTGCGCGGGGTCGCCAAGTTCCGCCACCATCCCCATCTACGCTGTCAAGGTGGGTTGTGAGATGTCATGTCTTCATCCTGTTCTCACAATGCTGTCACTCGCCTCTCTCTCCACCACACATGCTCAACACCTCCCTCCCCCTCTCTGTGTGTCCCTTCCCAGGCCAACACGGCGTCTCAGGTGGTGCGGGCTCTTCGTGCCATCCTCAACCTCCCCACTCTCACCTCTCCGCCTCCCTCCTCCTCCTCCTCCTCCTCCTCCTCCTCCTCTGCCTCATACGCCGCCTCTCCGCCTCACTCTTCCCCTTCTGCTACTCTTTCTCGCAACGCGCCCCTTCCTGATGTTGCTATAGCGTCATCCACACCGCCCACCAACTCTCAACCTTGCAAGATGAGAGCAGCAAGGGTGGCGGTAGCAGCAGCATCGGCATTCGCAAGCAGCAGCAGCGGCAGTTGGGTGGGTGGGGCTGGAGAGGACGAGGAGGCAACAAGAGGGGCTGGCGGAGGTTCATTGGAGGACGAGATTGATGCGCTGGAGGTGAGGGCCATGGGGTGACGGTGCTGCTGACTGGAGTGGGCCAGAGGCACTCCACCGTGCCCAGCGCTTCCAGAACTCGTGTGCACCAGACAAGTACAGTGCTTGTCGGTGATTCGTGATGCCCTCTCTTCCTTTCCCACCCCTGATGACCCTCCTATCTAATGGCAGCACACAGAGAGCATGTCTTGTCCAAGGACAGGCCATTTGTGACTCTCTTCTTTGTGACTCTCTTCTTTGTCTTCTCTGCCTTTCCGTCCTACCCGCCTGTGCCTGTGGTTCCATCCACCCCGCAGGAGGCGCGCATGGCAGCGGAGAGCATGATGGGGAGCGCAGCACAAGCAGTGGACCTGCTACCACGCGCCCCGCGCATCCTCTCCCTGCAGCTGCAGCTGATCAATGACTACCCCCTCTCCTGGCAGTACACTGGCTCTCCCCCCACCCGCCGCATCCGCATCCTCCCCCTCCCTGCCTCTGCTCGCTCGGAGCTTGCTCCAGCTGTCATTTGTCGATCCAATTCTCCTGTTGGTGCCATTGGTAGCGTTGGCCTCCGGTGTTACGAGTGGTGGAGAAAGAATGGGATGGCAGGGAGAACAGGAAGATGTTGAAATGGTGGAGGGTGGAGGTGGAGTGGTTGAGAGTGGTGGCTGTGTGGTGGAAAATGCAGCGGCTGCTGGATGGACTGTGGTTAGCTTGCCACGGAAAGTGGGCTGATTGTGAAAGTACACGTTACAAGCCAGCTTGTCTGAGCAGTGTTTCAAAACAGTGCAATGCACATTCTTCTTTTCATGGTCATGATACACCAGAGAGTATATACTGCCACTAAGAAGTTCTCAGGTACCAACGTCAGCTTCAGCGGCCCTTGCTGGTGTCAACGCCTTTGGACTGCAGGGCATTGCCACTCTTTTCCATGGTCGACTGGCCTCCCTTGCTCGTCCCTGACCACACAGCTCAGCATGACAACAGTGCCTCTACATCCAATGGGCCTTGTCTAGTTGAAACTGCATGCACCACCAGTAGTAGATATCTACTACTAACATGTGAGTATCATTATGATATAATTATCATTATTGCTAGTGCCACGGGTTCACTGATTGCAATGGTTTCCAAAATATTATTACTCTGATGTTGCTGTACCATAATGTCTATTGTTCCGGTATCATGGCAGCAAGTCTACAGCGCTAAATGCATACGGTACCGGTACAAGGTAGCTAGTGAAAGCCAGTCCTAAAATGTAGCAATTATTATCTAATTATTGCATCACAATTGCTATGGTATGGGGTGCTGCTCCACTGTCCACGAGCTCTGAGGCGCTGCTCCACTGTCCACGAGCTCGGAATGTTGGACCCCTCTTGGCCGCAGGGAGGCAAGCCCCCTGCGTTACACCTAAGCACCACGTTGAGGTGGGGGCTTTTGCTTAGGACACCTGTTGGGGGGAGGGGTGGGGAGAGGGAGGGAGGGAGGGAAGAGAGGGGAGAGAGAGAGGGGGGAAAAAAGGTAACAACACACCACACCACACCACACCACACCACTCCACACCACACCACTCCACTCCACACCACACCACACCACACCACAAAACAACACAATGGATGCCGCTTGTTGTGCCTACGTTGGTAGGCACAACCACAGCTGCTGCAAACATGAACCTCACCACTCCGGGCCTCTGCCCGCATGCCTCAGGGCAACTGCCCCTAAACCCCCACTTACAGTCCGACGGCTGCAGCGCTCCCCTGCTGGCTCCTCCGCGAAACACGACCAGAAACACATCTTACCGAGAATGATGAGAGCCCACCTGTCTTGGTCTTGCCTGAAACAAGGTCAACACACAAAGCATCAGCGCAAGCCGTTTCAAGGCAAACAGAAATCGGAAAACAGAGTCAAGGCAGGAAGATAGGCAAACCGAGCTCACGGAAACAGAAGTATGGAAAGCGAAGAAAGTTACCAGAGAAGAGAAGAGACGAGTGCTTCTGTTCCGCCGCTCCTCCTCTCCTCCTCGCCCTCCTCTTCTCCTCTGGACAAACCAGGCAAAGAGAACGGGACAAACAGAACAAGGGAAACAGAATCAGGGCAAGCCATTTCAAGGCAAACAGAATTCAGAAAAGAGAGTCAAGGATGGAAGATAGGCAATCCGAGCTCACGGAAACAGAAGTATGGCAGCGAAGAGGGTTAGTTACCAGAGAAGAGAAGAGACGAATGCTTCTGTTCTGCCGCTCCTCCTCCCCTCCTCGCCCTCCTCTTCTCCTCTGTACAAACCAGGCAAAGAGAACGGGACAAACAGAACAAGGGAAACAGAATCAGGGCAAGCCGTTTCAAGGCAAAAAAAAAATCGGAAAACAGAGTCAAGGCAGGAAGATAGGCAAACCGAGCTCACAGAAACAGAAATACGGCAAGCGAAGAGGGTTAGTTACCAGAGAAGAGAAGAGATGAATGCTTCTGTTCCGCCGCTCCTCCTCCCCTCCTCGCCCTCCTCTTCTCCTCTGGACAAACAGGCAAAGAGAACGGGACAAATAGAACAACGGAAACAGAATCAGGGCAAGCCGTTTCAAGGCAAACAGAATTCAGAAAAGAGAGTCAAGGCAGGAAGATAGGCAAACCGAGCTCACGGAAACAGAAGTATGGCAAGCGAAGAGGGTTACCAGAGAAGAGAAGAGACGAGTGCTTCTGTTCCGCCGCTCCTCCTCTCCTCCTCGCCCTCCTCTTCTCCTCTGGACAAACCAGGCAAAGAGAACGGGACAAACAGAACAAGGGAAACAGAATCAGGGCAAGCCATTTCAAGGCAAACAGAATTCAGAAAAGAGAGTCAAGGATGGAAGATAGGCAATCCGAGCTCACGGAAACAGAAGTATGGCAAGCGAAGAGGGTTAGTTACCAGAGAAGAGAAGAGACGAATGCTTCTGTTCTGCCGCTCCTCCTCCCCTCCTCGCCCTCCTCTTCTCCTCTGTACAAACCAGGCAAAGAGAACGGGACAAACAGAACAAGGGAAACAGAATCAGGGCAAGCCGTTTCAAGGCAAAAAAAATCGGAAAACAGAGTCAAGGCAGGAAGATAGGCAAACCGAGCTCACGGAAACAGAAATACGGCAAGCGAAGAGGGTTAGTTACCAGAGAAGAGAAGAGATGAATGCTTCTGTTCCGCCGCTCCTCCTCCCCTCCTCGCCCTCCTCGCCCTCCTCTTCTCCTCTGGACAAACAGGCAAAGAGAACGGGACAAATAGAACAACGGAAACAGAATCAGGGCAAGCCGTTTCAAGGTAAACAGAATTCAGAAAAGAGAGTCAAGGCAGGAAGATAGGCAAACCGAGCTCACGGAAACAGAAGTATGGCAAGCGAAGAGGGTTACCAGAGAAGAGAAGAGACGAGTGCTTCTGTTCCGCCGCTCCTCCTCTCCTCCTCGCCCTCCTCTTCTCCTCTGGACAAACCAGGCAAAGAGAACGGGACAAACAGAACAAGGGAAAACAGAATCAGGGCAAGCCATTTCAAGGCAAACAGAATTCAGAAAAGAGAGTCAAGGATGGAAGATAGGCAATCCGAGCTCACGGAAACAGAAGTATGGCAAGCGAAGAGGGTTAGTTACCAGAGAAGAGAAGAGACGAATGCTTCTGTTCTGCCGCTCCTCCTCCCCTCCTCGCCCTCCTCTTCTCCTCTGTACAAACCAGGCAAAGAGAACGGGACAAACAGAACAAGGGAAACAGAATCAGGGCAAGCCGTTTCAAGGCAAAAAAAAATTCGGAAAACAGAGTCAAGGCAGGAAGATAGGCAAAACCGAGCTCACGGAAACAGAAATACGGCAAGCGAAGAGGGTTAGTTACCAGAGAAGAGAAGAGATGAATGCTTCTGTTCCGCCGCTCCTCCTCCCCTCCTCGCCCTCCTCTTCTCCTCTGGACAAACAGGCAAAGAGAACGGGACAAATAGAACAACGGAAACAGAATCAGGGCAAGCCGTTTCAAGGCAAACAGAATTCAGAAAAGAGAGTCAAGGCAGGAAGATAGGCAAACCGAGCTCACGGAAACAGAAGTATGGCAAGCGAAGAGGGTTAGTTACCAGAGAAGAGAAGAGACGAATGCTTCTGTTCTGCCGCTCCTCCTCCCCTCCTCGCCCTCCTCTTCTCCTCTGTACAAACCAGGCAAAGAGAACGGGACAAACAGAACAAGGGAAACAGAATCAGGGCAAGCCGTTTCAAGGCAAAAAAAATCGGAAAACAGAGTCAAGGCAGGAAGATAGGCAAACCGAGCTCACGGAAACAGAAATACGGCAAGCGAAGAGGGTTAGTTACCAGAGAAGAGAAGAGATGAATGCTTCTGTTCCGCCGCTCCTCCTCCCCTCCTCGCCCTCCTCTTCTCCTCTGTACAAACCAGGCAAAGAGAACGGGACAAACAGAACAAGGGAAACAGAATCAGGGCAAGCCGTTTCAAGGCAAAAAAAAATCGGAAAACAGAGTCAAGGCAGGAAGATAGGCAAACCGAGCTCACGGAAACAGAAATACGGCAAGCGAAGAGGGTTAGTTACCAGAGAAGAGAAGAGATGAATGCTTCTGTTCCGCCGCTCCTCCTCCCCTCCTCGCCCTCCTCTTCTCCTCTGGACAAACAGGCAAAGAGAACGGGACAAATAGAACAACGGAAACAGAATCAGGGCAAGCCGTTTCAAGGCAAACAGAATTCAGAAAAGAGAGTCAAGGCAGGAAGATAGGCAAACCGAGCTCACGGAAACAGAAGTATGGCAAGCGAAGAGGGTTAGTTACCAGAGAAGAGAAGAGACGAGTGCTTCTGTTCCGCCGCTCCTCCTCTCCTCCTCGCCCTCCTCTTCTCCTCTGGACAAACCAGGCAAACAGAACGGGACAAACAGAACAAGGGAAACAGAATCAGGGCAAGCCATTTCAAGGCAAACAGAATTCAGAAAAGAGAGTCAAGGATGGAAGATAGGCAATCCGAGCTCACGGAAACAGAAGTATGGCAAGCGAAGAGGGTTAGTTACCAGAGAAGAGAAGAGACGAATGCTTCTGTTCTGCCGCTCCTCCTCCCCTCCTCGCCCTCCTCTTCTCCTCTGGACAAACCAGGCAAAGAAAACGGGACAAACAGAACAAGGGAAACAGAATCAGGGCAAGCTGTTTCAAGGCAAAAAAAAAATCGGAGAACAGAGTCAAGGCAGGTAGATAGGCAAACCGAGCTCACGGAAACAGAAATATGGCAAGCGAAGAGGGTTAGTTACCAGAGAAGAGAAGAGACGAGTGCTTCTGTTTTGCCGCTCCTCCTCCCCTCCTCGCACTCCTCTTCTCCTCTGGACAAACAGGCAAAGAGAACGGGACAAACAGAACAAGGGAAACAGAATCAGGGCAAGCCGTTTCAAGGCAAACAGAATTCAGAAAAGAGAGTCAAGACAGACAGAAGAAGGAAAGTAGGGAAACTGAGCTCACGGAAACCGAAAAAATGGCAACGAATACAGAGTCGATGCAAAATGAATTAAGGCGAGAAGAGGTGGCTTACCAGAGAAGAGCAGAGGCGACTGCTCCTGGAAACTGGAGCGCCGGCTTGGGGACTGAAACAAGCAACATCACACGTTAAGAAAAAGAAACAAATGCAAAAAACGAATGCGACTCACAATGTCGGAGAT